GGCTTTCGGTTTACCATTGGTGAGGAGGCCTAATAACCAAAAACTGAATGAATGAATGAAAGAATGTTTAAAGGGAATCGTATGCATGCCAGTGTCTGGCTTAAGCAAAGGGGGTTTTTATAAGAAAAGCTTAATAACATCCTGTGATATAACTGGCCAGGGAGCTGGTAAATCTGCCGCTTTGAACAGTCTTATTGGACATACTGTTCTGGTAAGTTTGATTCTGTTTGAGCTTTTTGCATTTTGTTAAACTTTTTATTTATTTATTTATTTTTTCGTCACTTTTGTGGACATCTACTGACAACAGTATTTATTGGCAGCCAACAGGTGAAAACGGTGCCACTCGAGCTCCCATAAGCATTGAGTTGACAACAGTTTCCCAGTCTCATTTTATTTGCTTGAAGAATGCATTAGAAGGTGCTTAAGGGAAAGCAGGTGCCACCTGCCAACCACAAGTAGAATTTAGAAAGTTTTAATTGATCATGAGAAGACACAGTAAACTATCTATGATAGCAAGAGAGAGATTTTGTTTCCTCTTCCACATTAATCTCCTACTACAATGAAAATGTAGTATCCTGTGTTTCTTTTCAGTACTATTTTCCCTGAACCATTCACTTTGTAGTAGCAGCAGTAACAAATTAGCATGGGTCATCATGATGGGGCAGACAACCAGACGTTCTCATTCTGGTTTGGATGCCTGTGGCTGTGGGTATAATTGCTGCTGCAGCTGATAGCCCACCGCCAATGCTGAAGCCCCAGTACCACTGCCAACAATGCTGTCATTGGTGGAAGTGGAAGGACAGTTGTGGTATCCACCTGGTACTCCCCTGCTGTACATGTAGGCAGCAAGGGGAATGATATTGTCACTGATATTGTTGATGGTGGGAATGGCATCTTCAACGGCCAGTGGGATGTGTCGAGGGGATGCAGTGGTTGAGCATTCTCCGGTGCCACCTATGACGATGCTGCTGGTGGGAGTTGGGGTACTGCTGCTTGTCTTCATAGTTCCACATACTGGACAACAGGTTGAAGCCTGGAAAGATGGTAGACAGAAACCGAATATAGGAAAAAATAAGGTTTGGATGTTATAGGTTTCTGTCTAAATTCTCAACCTTATTGGAAAATAAAACCTTCTTCTTTTCATCCAACGTGTCCCATTCATTCCACTTTCTCATAAACCAAACAGAGGAAAAAAAAGAAAAAGAAGAAAAAAGAACACAGAGTAAGAGGCAACAAATTAATGATGCATACATACCAACTTGGAGCGGTAAGTAGTGCCGTCGGGATCAACGATCCAACCAGCCTCTTTAGCAAGCTCACGAAGGACCTCATTGATATCAGCTCGAGGAGAGAGATGGTAGCCTCCATGCTTCCTGAGACCTTGAAAGATCTTGGTGGTGATGGCCCTTCTCTGCCTTTCCCTCATTTTGGTTTTCTCTTTCTCGCCCTCACTCCTTCCTCCTCCCATATTCCTTAAATAATTATTATTAATTCATTTCTTCTCTGAATGTGCAATCTGATCTGACTTAAATAGAGGCCGTGGGTAGGGTTTTAGTTTGTTTGTATACCTGTTTTGCATGATTGATGATACACACACACACAGAGACCATGGGAGGAGGAAGGTAGAGGGGTCAGGATTGTGTGTCATGAGAGATAAAGGAGCCTATATGCACAGTATCAAATGCAGAGGGGGAAGGTTGAGGGGTCAGGGTTAATAGGAAAATGAGTTTAGTAGAATATCATTTAGAGGTAATTATTTTTATAAAGTTTTTAT